CTGCTACCCATATCTATTACAAAACAAGCTGCCACTAGCTGCACTGGAAAGATTGTGTGGCAATCAGCATCCACGTTCATGGAAATAGGCATAGCCTAGTGCTAAAAAAGCTGGTGTCAGTCAATCTGCCTTCTTGCTTTCTTTGTGATGAAGCCTATTCTTTCCTCGAGCTTATGCCCTAGTCCTAGATTTATTGCAGTTGTTTTGGGAAGTTGCCCATGCTGTGCTCAAGGAATCACACTGCCTTTTTTGAAGTGGACTGAAGGCTTGTTTACAGCCATTTTGGTTGTTCGTTCCAGCAAGCAGATACGGAACAGGCAGCTTCAGTCTCAAACTACACAATGTAAACCATCAGCCAACCAGAGCCCTGGGATCAGTCCTGTCAAAGTTGAGGTAGAACGATGTGTAATACTTTTGAAAAGAATGTTTTTACAACAAACATCATCAATGCCAACTAATTCATGTTGCCAAAATAAGTATTTCAAGGAGTGGATTATTTTTACGTGAGTAAATGTAATCCTTGCGAAAGCTATTTGCTTTATAGTTTGTACTTCTGTGCAAAAGAACACCTCTGTCTATGCCTTTTGCCACTGTGCCTTACTGAAAGGGCTGACATCACAGAGCCTGGCTTCCAGCATAAAGGTCAGAGTCTGCATGCATGGAGGTTACCGTCTTGGTAGAGACAAACTGACCTTTGTACCTGTGGCCTCCTATGAAACACAAGCATCCAGAATACACATCTTTCCAATACAAGGGCTGTGAAAGGCTTACAATTACTGTCTACAAGACTGAGTGAAAAGAATTCTATTTTTTTTGCATGTGTTTGCTTCTTGCCCTGTCTCTGATTCGGCTTGCCCTGTGTGCTGGCAGGAGATGGAGTCTGACAAGTTTCTTTATGTCAGAAGTTTGGTCTCATCAATGAAAATTCCTTTGTGTGCCACAAGTAGGAGAATCGCACATCTTGCATCTGCATGACAGCATGGATGGTCGCAGCAGAAGGAATATCCTGTTGAGGGCTCGAGAAACTTGGGCCAGGAGTGCTTTAAAGTTCTGTCATTTTACCCTCTCTAAGATCTATTTTACAGTTGTCAAGATTTTTTTTTAAAGTATTTTAAAGACACTTCACATGTGTCTTACTGTAGCAAACCTAAAAAGTGTGAAAACCCTTAAAAAAGTGTAGTGGTACAGACTGTAGTTTGCTGGGAAGAGCAAAAGCTGAACAATTGCTGGTATTTGAATATATGTTATAGAGCTGTTTGCTGGGTGAAAGTGTGACTATTTGAACTGAAAATTTTGTGACAGATTGGAACGTATTCTTTTAAATTTTCCATCCCTCTTCTTTTTTCAGTGACATTTCCTTTTGGGGACTTCACAGTTTATGGCTTTGACCCACTGTACATTAGGTCATTGTTCTTGTAGTCAGAGCTGAACATCTGGTGAGGAAACATGTCTGAAAAGCTGTTGGAGAACAGCTCTGCAGGTCTGCAGCTATTATTTCGTACAGCTTCTCATCCCTGAAAACAGTAAGCAGCAGCTAAGCTGGGCACAGGGCCTACATCAGGCCAAATCTGTGTAACCGTCTGCAGGCCCAGCAGGGTTGATGCACAGGCTTCAGGAACAAGGTGTTTGACTGGCCCTTCTCTGCAAGAAAGATGTGGCATAGAGAGGATAAATGTGAAAATGATCCAGAAGTAGGAAAGGTTCAGCCATTATTCAGGTTTATGTTTAGAGACCTGAGTAGTGTAGCCGGATGAGTCAGGACAAGGCGAGGCTGCAGCAAGAATAAGGCACACAAAGCTGTTCCTGCAAAGTTAAAGTAGTCCTAAGTAGTGCTTTGTGCTCAAATGAGGAGAGAAGATTTATGCTATATTAGTTTTCATACTTGGGGAACAGTAAAAACAGTTGTAGAGGAACAGAAAAAATACTATCTTGTGTGATGCCAGTGGGAATAAGGTAATTGAATTTCCTCACCAATCCAGAATTTTAAGTTTTTGATGGAGAGAGAAGGCCACTACCATTTACATCTTCTCAATGGGTGTGTGTCTACGTTAGTCAGTGCTATGGTACATTGCGAGAGGGACTCTGGTATGACGCTATGTGATGTACATTCGCCAGTGGATCTGCTGATCATGCTCTAAGTCTTGTGGTGGTTCTGTGCACACAAGCAGATGTACAATCTCTGTCATGTTGCGGTCCATCACGCTTGTGCACAGTGATTAATCACACATGTACGCCATGGTCCTCTGCACAGTGAGCCTGGCCAGACTCGGGAAGAGGCTAGCTACCATCTAAAATGGCCTTCTGTGTCAAATCTGGCACTGTCACTTTGCCTACTCCACACTATTCTTTGCCCTCACATAGCTAAAAAAAATGTCTCCTTCCTTTATCCATCTTACAACAGCTGTGCGAGCCTGTTTGGAGGTCTTAATTCATACTCAGCACTATTTCCATCAATACAGGCCTGCATATAGCTAATAGAAGTTTTTTGCTATGGTTATAAAGATGATGATAAGTGGCTGGTCTCTTGTGGTACTCAGCTTCTGCTTTGCTGGTTTCCATTCTGCAGAAGTGGCTATCAACTCCTGTCACTTCATCATAACATTTTCTTTGACCTGTGATCGGAAAAAGGGGAAACATTTTGGTTAGAAGCCGAACCAGAGCATTGCATCACTGAGTGAGGCTGAGGGGTGTGATCAGGAGATGTGATGAACAGTGGCTCCACCCAGTCACACAGTTAGGGCTACAAATGCACCCTGGGGTCCAGGCCTCTGCAGTGTGCCCATTTGGCCATCTGTCTATGTGTCTGTCCAGGGAGGTTACTGCACAAGCCTTCTGGGAATATAAGGTGCCACTGGTTGTGCCTGGTGTCTCCCCATCCCAGTTCTGAACAGTGTGGTCTTGTTCCCACAGTCCCTACCAGGAGATCATTGGCAACGTGAATTAGGTCCTTTAGGTGCTTATATTGCCTTGTGCTAGACACTGTTAATATCATGCAGTCAGTTATTGGCCAAGGACAGTAACATTGGCCAAGGCCAAGGTTTCTGTTAGAATGAGTAAAATTTAATAAAGCAGGAGTGCTGTTGAACATTTGTAGCAAACCCAAACCTGGTATATGTGAAAGAAGCTCAGAGCCCAGCATGCTGAAGTAATCCTCGGAGGGTTAAACAAGCAAATTGTTTTGCAGAGGGAAATCCTAGAAAGCCAGGGTCAGCATCGCTGCCTACCTTGAAGACTTCCTTAAAACATTTTACAAATGGGAGTTGGTGTAATGAGTGGGAACAAGGACAGTGTGAGAATAACAGAATTTTATGATAATGTTTTACAGTACTGAGTGGCTTAAAAATAAAAAGACAAACCTTGTCAGAGGCATCCTTTTTCTGCTGCTTGAGGGAAACCAGAGCAGTACCGAGCTATTGAGCCTTTCTAGTGATTTCCAATTCACAGCATGCAGATC